TGCAGGTTCCCCAACGATTTCCTCCAGCAGAGTCTATCTACTAACACCCCTCCTACCGGGATCCCTTAAGACAATCCCCTACTGTAGGTTCCCCACCGATATCCTCCAGCAGAGCTTGTCCCAAGCCAACCCTCCCCCCAAACGGGACCCCATCCCACCTAAGGTCCTTGCCCCCCCCAAAGCAGAGCCTAAGGTAACCAACACACATGAGCAGTCTAACCACAAACCCGTACCTGCATCCTCATTAGACTGCTAACTGTATCAGGCAAGCCCCTCATAGCCCAGAACCCAACATACAACACCATGGACAGTCCCCTGGGTGGTGCGCAGGCAGTGTCTGTAATAGTACCATGCGTCAGCCCAGGGGAGTGTGTGTCCAGCCGTGCGTCATTCTAACGCCCTGCCGGTGTCCATGCGCAAGGCTGCGGAGTTTTGAACCCGCAACCTCATACCACAATGCGCATTTCCAACCGGTGCTCTAACCACTGAGCTACATCAAAGAGTGCTGGACTCAGCCAATGGTCTGCCTCCTCTGAATGTTGTTGCCGTCAGCCCATTATGACAGCACTTTGTACGCATGACTTCGTTTTTGTTTTTGTTTTTGTTAGCTGTCTCCAGACATGAAGCACTGGACCAGCGGTGCGTTTTTGCCCCCCCCTCCCCCCCCTCTCAAAAAATCATGAAAACGCAACGCTGCTACAATGGTTTTGAATTAAAAAAAGAAAACCGAACAAATGGTGAAAGTATGTAGGGATGTAGGGTACACAGCCAAAACTTTTCGTCTTTTTTGGAATCTCTCCAAAACTCAGAACCCTGCACGATGTCCCGTCCATTGATGGCGTGTGGCCATCAAACAATGTCCCGTCCATTGATGGCGTGTAGCCATCAAAATCTGTCACACATGATAGAAAATCGTGCCGACACGGTTTCAAATGGCGCTAGTCGTTCCTGCCACTTCCTGGCCCCTGGGCCATTCAGTCAATAAATTAGCTACTCGACGCCGATGGTTGAATCATCTTACACCATTGTCATTAGCTATCTGGTGGTTAGATGGTGGGTCAATTATTTCACTAGGGCGAAAGGAAGTCTTATGTATTGATGCTTCTGGCGAAGATTCTGTGAAACTTGTGATATCTCAAGGCTGTCACCCTTTCAGAAAATAAAAGGAAGAAAAACAAAACAAAATAGAGGCTCCAACCTTTCTTTTTCTTTCCTTTTTCTCTTTTTTTTTTTTTTTGGGGGGGGACTTAGGGTACCGGGATACGTATTCGTGGGGAGCAGCACGTGCTGGGAACCGGTCCCAGCTTTCCATATAGAAACATACGAGTATTAAAGCGCGCCTCCCCCCCCCCCCCCAAAAAAAAGGTAAAAAAAGAGGGTACCGGAATAACCTGTTGCTCTATGGCAGCCTCAAGGCATTAGGCCTGCTCCTTAACCCACCAGTACTTGGCCCAGCTATCGGCCGTGGAAAAAAATAGAGTAGAAACGTTTCTAGTTGGATGAGTTTGGGCGCTCCTGTAGTGGCCCGTACATTTCCTAAAATCGCGTAGCGTTAACGGGCACGACTTTAGGAAGTACTGGTGGTTTAAACAACCAGTACTTGGCCCATACATCAACCGCGGGCTCTTGCCGTATATGCACCGCAACTTTCGGGACTCGGCCTCCGGAGCAAAATGGCTGGCGGTGCCAGTCAAAAGGAGGCCACACCGTTCGTTTTGTTCTGGTGCACAGGGCATTTCCAGGGTCGAAAGTGCCTCGGAAGTACTGGTGGTTTAACTGCTGAGGCTCCATCCTATTGGCAGCGAGCAGGACCTGCTGGCAACTGAGGCCAGTATCCAATAGAACACAACCTATAATACAATGACCCTGAAACGGTGTTGAGAAAGGCACCAGTCACTAACCTTGAGAAGAATGTCCATGCCTAGCGCTCAAAGTACCCGTACGACAGGGCTTGTCCGACCATGCTTCAATCAGGGCTGATCTGGGTAGTTCCTGCTTAGCCCTGGTGCCTACCGCCACTGTCTGGTAAGGTCACCCCCTTTGAGATGACAGGAGGGTGACGATCCTGAGTGGCAGACACTGAGGTAGGGTTGTGGGAGTAGGGGTGCGCCAGGAGAAATGATGAGAGTGGGTGGCGCGAAGGAGTCTCATAAGGAATGGGGCCCTCTGTAGACGACTACGGAAGGTGACTGTCATAGTTTAGCTTCCAACCTCTACAACAACCTGGACTTCTCTGTACTCTTAAAAACTGCAAAGCCTATGAGACGGATCTGCCAGGAGCCAGATTTTCCAAGCTCACAAGAAACGAAGATCAGGACGACAATGAAAGTTGGGTGGGCCTCGTCCGCATATGTGTGGTTGGGGACCACCAGGAAGGCTTCCTTGTATAAGAGCCCACATCGGCACTTGCCAGGTTACCTTTTGACCCGGGGGAGTGGGAGTGGCCTGGGCCGAATCCAATGCACATATGAGACTACTCTGTCAAAGGGGGATACAAAGCCTCCAGCCCACTAGTGGCAATCGACCACACACTATCTAACAGATGGGCACGAGACTCACCTATGGACTCGCAGTTGATGGGGGGCTTGCCTTGGGCCAAGTACTCTAAGATCATGCCTACAAATCTCAGAGCCCTGAAATGGCAAATCCTCCACCGCTGCTTGCCCACTCCGGACTAGCTAGTGTCAAGAACAAACCTTGAGCGGAAGGGGCTGTTGTCCCCCATTTGCACTTATTGTGGCAGATCAACGCCTCAGGCTAGGGCAACACTGGAGCACTGCCTGCTGGCCTGTCCAATGGTCACCCAATTGTGAAGGTGGTGGGATGCAGCTTTCCACTCCCTCACAGCCTGCCACATCCCATGGGACATTGGCCTCCTTTTGCTTGACAAGAACCAACATCTGATGGTACAATGGTCTCCCTACGCCACCAACCTCTTCTCTTATATGAAACTGCAGGTACTCATGCTGGCGTGGAGAGCTTTGTTTTTTTTTTTTTTTTTTTTTTTTTTTTTTTTTTTTTTGACAGAAAGAAGCTCCAGTCTATTCWTGGGGAGCAGCACGTGCTGGAAACCGGGCCCAGCGTCCCATATGAACATACATCAGTTTGTAACACCGGGGCCATTATCCGGCTTCGGCTGAGAAAAACCTGAGAATAGAAAATTCTAATGCTGATGACACTAATGATGCCGGTGATGATAAAAAAATGGAGCTACACATGCTGAGTCAGCCATACTGGACTCCTAATCCTGAACAACTCCAAGCCCTCCCTTATCAGGATATTGCAACTCTAGAACAAGACAAACCTATCCCCCCACTGCCATAGCTGATCTCTCCTCACTACCCAGACTAGCCCCACCCCATAGGTTGTCAAGGTAGCCCCTCCTGGTTCACCATTGGCTTGCTTTCCTCCCTCAGCAAACCCCAGCTCTCTCTACAAGGCCTCCCACCCCTGCCAATTACAGGTTACAGGGCTATGCCCCAGCTCCGGCCAGCGTTGTTCTGGCATCGGCAATCCAGGAGCACAGAACAAAGCAACTTCAACAGTTATCAGTCTAGGTTCGACGATCCCTGAATTCCTATATCCCAAATAAAGAAGAAGACCAGGTGCTGCCACGATTGTAGAGCAGCAGGTGACTGGTTTTGAAGTATTGAACTGTATTGAAATTATCAGATTTTTTTTTGACACATCGAGTTTATTAGATCGTGAAAAGGATACGCTTCCATTGGTCACAGCTCAAACCAATCCGTACCCACTGCACCCTGTCTCATGCTGCCTCCACCGAGGAA